TTGTGGGCTAATCCTGAAATCATTGCTTCACTATATACTAACTAATTTGGATGTAAATTTTAAAAAATAAAAAAATAAAGTTAAATCACAAAGTTAAAAAAAAAGTAACTCCAATACATTTTTCATTGTGTCAGTTGCTCACAGAATTTTAGTGCTGAAGGGACTTGAAAGTATCCACCTCTATTTCTTCATTGATCAGACACAGAGAAAGGAAGGTACCTTACTCAGTTGGCAAAGCTAAAATGCAGTACTTCTAAATCCTTCCTACTCGATAGTCTTTTCATCGTATATTGTTATCCTAGTCATTTTAGCTCTTTGACTCTTTATAATACACAGAGATTTATTAATTTTAACTTCACTCTATACAGGGCCATGTAGAAATAAAAGAGTATAATATGGATGAAGAACATACTGTGCAATGTTTAAAATAAACTTTACATTTCTACAAAAGAAAGTTACTTTTAAAGGCCCCACTAAAGGCTTATCAAATATAATGTTTTCCAGTATGCTATGAATATAACAGGCAGTGCAGGTTAGAATGCAGAAAAGCATGAGTTTCTGTTTCAACTCTATCATTTACTAGCTGGGTGTTCAAGAGGCAAAGTCAAATGAGAAAGGATGAGAAATTACTTTTAAAACAAAACAATGCATTATTGTACAAACTTTGTTTAAGCCCACTTGGTGAATATTATGTACTAGGCCTTATGTTTTGTTGGAGGCACAGTATATCAGCTTTAGTGAATGAAGTTTTTCAATAAATCATAAACCCCACCACTGTCACTGCTGCTATCAGAAGAGTCCTCTTCCTCCTCCGATTCAGAATAAAATTTCTTAGCAGGATTCTCTTTCTTTGCTTTTCCTGCTGGAGTCCATTCTTTTGCCTGTTTTTCAAAAAAGGAAAATTGTAAATATAAATGAATTCTCATTAAGGGATTCAGTCTTCTGGCAAACAATCATTCAGGATCCACTGTGAACCCAGAAGAAAGTTGCCGGTCCCAACAGAGAAGGCAACTATTAGAAGAGCTGACATTAAGGCTGATTCCACTTTATTCCTAAATAGAGGAAACCAAACCTCACTCAGATTGCATTCTGTTAAATCAACAACTTTATTTTACATAAAAGACTTTTGTATTTGTTGGTCTGCAAGAGATGTGAACTAAAGTAATATACTCTAGAAGATGTGAGGCATTTAGAGGCGGACACAATAACAGCATGAAGAAACGAAAGATCAGAGCTTAATACTGAAGTTAAAAAAAAAAAAAAAA